CCTTATTCACTGTCCAGCTTTCTCATGCATATGAGGTTATTGAAAATACCATGGTTTGGGTCAGGTGCACCTTAGTCTTCAAGCTGACATCTTTGCTCTTGAACACTTTAAAAACGTCTTGTGCAGCAGATTTACCTAATGCAATTGAGCACTTGACTGCTGCTTCCATGTGAGTGTTGATAGTTGATCCAAGAAGAACGAAGTCCTTGACAACATTTACTGATGAAGATCAAAGAGCACAGCCTTCATTATAGATTACATCTCAATGTAAAGAAAACAAAAATCCTCACCACTGGACCGATAAACAACATTCTTATCAACGGAGAAAAGATTGAAATTGTCTAGGCATTTGGTAGATTCCTAATAAATATTTCCTCCTCATTCTTATTCCAAGTCTTCCCTGATCAACTAAGTTTACCTGGGAGGGGGGGGTTTGTCTCCATGTCAGGTCTTGACATAAAGTGTGTATAAACACTTCAGAGCCTTAGATTCCTTATCTATAAAGTTGTTGTTGTTATGTGCCATCAAGTCAGTTACGACCCATAACGGCCTGTACAGGGTTTCTGAAGCTGTAAATCTTTATGGGAGCAGAAAGCCTCCTCTTTCTCCCGAGGAGCGGCTGGTAGTTTTGAACTTCTGACCTTAAGGTTTGTAGCCCGATTCATAACCACTATGTTACCAGAGCTCCTTATCTATAAAGTAGGGACAAATAAAACTCTTCCTCATAGAAGTAGCAGGAGGATTTAGTCTGGCATAAGTCAGTGGTTCTCAATGGGGGGTAATTTTGCCCCCACCCCACCCCCATGACATATGGCAGAGTGGGGATACATTTTGGTTGTCACATCCTGTGGGTGGGGGAGGGGAGGGGAGGCTGTTAATGGCATTCAATAGATCTAGGCTGCGGATGCTGCCCAACCTTGTCCAATGTACTAACAAGACAGCTCCCACAACAGTGACAAGGGTTACACAACATAGTGAACGTAATTAATGACACTCAATTGTACACTAAAAATGGCTGAAATGGCAAATGGTGTGCTATATATAAGATGCGGCTTAAAAAAGTTCAATGAAAAATGGAATAAAAAGATAATGGAGCTTTTCCATGGCCTTTTTTGAAGTCTTCTTTTCAATACATTGAAATTTTTTTTAAAAGGAGGGAGGGCAATTTTCTATGTCATAGGATATTGTGAGGGTTCAATGCTATGCTGAGCATAGTTCTTCCAGCATAGTACGTGTCCTGCAAATGTTAGCTCTTACGTAGCTTTTGTTGTTAAGTGCCATCAAATAGGTTCTGACTCATAACAACCCTGGGTAGGGTTTCTGAGGAGCAGCTGGTGGGTTTGAACCACTGAGCTTGTGGTTTGCAGTCGACTGCTGATCCTACAGTGCTACCCCGAGTCCAGCCATTAAGAGCACATCAATAACAATAACTAAAACACTACATTTACTGTGATCAGGATAAAACAAAATCCCGGAACTCATTCACTGATAAATTCTAACACCACCAGAAGTGGATGAAGAGGAAAAAGAGGTTCTCATACAGAGCACCCTTCTGCTTTGAATTCTGTGTCATCATTACTACACAGAGTTCCCTTCAAAGGAGTTAGCACAATTGTACTTTCTACAAACCTTCTCCTATAAAAGTCATCAATACAGTTGGTGTTCAATAAATATCTAAGGAATTGAATTGCAAAAGTCTCTGATCATGTTTGAAGAATGGGTTGGGGGGAAAAAAGAAACAAGAACACACACACACACACACACACACACACACACAAATTAACCTCTCACTTAGCAACTGCTTAGGTGTTAGCAAATCAATCAGTTCATTCTTCTCTGAATTATTAAAACAAATGAATGCAAATGACCTTTCATTTACTTAAGCTTCCTAAAGGATGCAGGCATTAGAAACAAGAAAATCCAGAGACATTTGAAAATGGCTGGACAGGGCCAATCTATTAGCCATTGCCATTCCGATGCAACTGATACTGCTTGGGCGTTTGAAGTCCTCCAGTGCTTTAAAGAAACTGCACTTCAAAAGTTTTCAATCCCTGGGTAACTGGAGGAAAGGCCCTTTTCCCATTATGTCCTTTGTTTATTTTCTTTCTCCCCTGAGAGCTTCCTTTTCACTTCTTTAAAATGTTTAGCAGAGCTCTTCTAAAGCTGGGGGCTGAGAAAACACTTCCTTAAAAGAAAATTCAGATGTGTTTGTCTTCAGACCGTCTTGGGCCAGGGGTAAATCCTTCCAGAGGAGACAGTGCCTGGGATTCTGGGCGAAGAGGCTTCTCTCCGTCCCAGGGCCTGGGAAGGCTTACAGGCAAAGTGGGAAATTTCACAGGCACAGAGTTTAACAGCCGCATCATGTGACCTCATGAGAAGTCAGGACAAAAACTGGGGGCCAGGTTATTGTGTAGAGAATCCTCTCATGCCTTCTGGTTTTCCTAATTTCTAACTGCAGAACTCTCTCACAAAAACTTGTGTCTGCTTTGCAAAATTAGCCCTCCCTTTACTGAGGTTAATGGGGGTGCACGCATTTGGAAGATCATAGTGGTAATGTGTGCAGAGCAGGATGGATATAATCAAGGTCCCTGAATCACACATGGAAAAATACCTGAAATGACAAATGTTTTGTCTGATCTATATGGGAGTCCTGACGTGGTGCTATAGGACAGGCACAGGACTAGAAGGTCAGTTGGATACACAAGGTCCGCAGTTCCCACATACCAGCCACTTCTCGGAAACTCAATACAAGGTCGCTTTGAGTCAGAACCGACCAGACAGCACTTAACAACACACAGATATATATTTACCACAATGATAACATATGTGTGTGTGTTACTGTTGCTAAGTGTGTAGGGTTTCTGAGAAGTGGCTGGTGCATTTGAACTGCTGACCCTGTGGTTCACAGTTCGGTGCTGATTCTAGAGAGCCACACTGGTGGTTGTGGTGGTGGTGAAGTGCTGTGGAGTCGGTTCCGACTCACAGTGACCCTGTACAGGATTTCCGAGGCTGTAAATCTTTACGGAAGCAGAAAGCCTCATCTTTCTACCACGGAACAGCTGGTAGTTTTGAACTGCTGACCTTGTGGTTCGCAGCCTGATTTGTAACTACTACGGTATCAGAGCGCTATATATATATATAGATAGATAGATAGATAGATAGATAGATAGATAGATAGAGTTAAAGATAGCCACCATAATAATAATAATAATAAAATTTATTGTTGTTGTTAAATGCCATTCAGTCAATTCCAACTCATAGCAACCCTGTATAGGATTTCCAAGGAGTGGCTGGAAATGCCAACCTTGAGGTTCAAACTGACATTGCAGTCGAGCACATCAACCCGTAGCACCACACCAGAGACAAACAGTTAGCTCAGGTTATTACAGCATGTTTCCAAGGGCAAGTCAAAACCCATCACATCCCTGAAGGGACAAGACAGTATGGAACTACAGAATGGGAAGAACAATCTATGGCTGCTTGCCTACACAGTAATCAGTGGAAGATGACACATTTGCTGCTCTTGGTCTGAACACTGGTGCAAAGTGGTTAAAACGTGAAGTGGGGTACAGATTGAGTTCATCACACCTACAGAGCCTCTCCCATGTGTCCACGGTCCTTGGATTTCTAGAATGTATTGTGCCGGATGTTTTGTTTATCAGGCTATCTCCTCAGTGGGTGATCAGTTCTCAAAGGAATGGATGGTTGTAAGTCTCCAGGAATAAGGATGGTGCATAGCACAAACAGAGCACTCAAGAAATGTTCTGCTGACTTCTCCTTAAGACTATTCTAGAGGCATGACTGAGAAGTCAAATGAAGCTCATGCAAGTCTTACAAATTTTGGAGTCCCTAGGTTTTTTTCATTAAAAAGAAAAAAAAAATCTTGTGGTTGAAAAGGTAAACACCTTTTCCCACTTACCCATTAAAACAAAAAGCAAACATTGACTGCATGTACTATTTTGTAACTTCTTTTCTCTATGTAACTCCCATGAACACGTTTCTACACCACATAATACTCAGAATTCTTGGTAGCTGGCTTGTGTTGGGATCCACTTGTCCTGTCTATGGAGAACTAATTAGGTGCACCTCTTCTCAACTCTCCATTTAGTGACATTATCTTAACAGCTTGAAATTGGTCAAGTGGTGAATATTTACACCTTGGAAATTGGCAGACACTACAAAAAACAGGATGTTTTTCCTTTTGTTTTTGTTTCCAGACAGTCCTGTTGGTTGAGTTGTCACTCACCAGCACTCCACTGAGTAATGAATATTCATTGAGGGAGCCCCAGGGGGGAGATGGGAGATAGATCTCATAAAAGGATGAAGGAATGGGCCAGCTCATACCTGTGGACACTTGACAGCACTGTAGCAGTCCCCAGCGGTGGCGAAAGGGACTGGATGTCCTTCACTGGTCCTGGCAAACTGCAAGTCAGTGGCTATGGGTGGAGACAATAAAAAGGAAGAGAAGAGTGAGAAAGGGAGACAGAAGCAGGGAAATATCAACCAGGGGACAGAAGGAGAGGAGAAGAGTAAGAGAAAAAATAAAAGGGGATGGGAGAGAAGCAAACAACCCTAAATATGATTAGCGAACAAATGGTTGCAGATGTTCCCTTGCCTTTTGCACATTCCTATATGTGTTCCCAGAGCGTCATTCTCTGCATTTTATCAGCACTGACTGTCTCCTCAGAGTGGGAAAGCCCAAGGGGTGGGGTGCTTAAATGACTTGAAAATAGTCATCTACATAAATAAATATGCGAAAAAATAATCTAATGGATGAGGAACCTCCAGTAACACAGCAGGAGAAGCTTGAAGAGGGGCTGGGGATAAGCCAGGGAAGGCTTCCCAGCTACTTAGGGCTTTTTCCCTGAGGTTTCATCTGTCCTCCCATGGCCTAGGCACTATTACTGCCACAATGTGGAGCAATGAGAACTCACATCTTGAAATTATTAATGGCAGTTTCTCAAGTTTGGAGCCAGCTTGCCATTTGTTAAAAAATGCAATGAAAACAATACTATCCCAGAGCTCCTGTTTTTAACCCTCTTGCAAGTCCCAAGAGCAGTTTGGCTAACGGTACGGCTGTTCAAAACCAAAGCCAAACCCACTGCCACTGAGCTGGTCCCGACTCACAGCGACCTCTATAGGACAAGGCACTGGCCCACAGGGTGTCTAAGACTGTACAGATTTACAGGAGTAAACAGCTTCGTCTTTATCCTGAAGAACAGCTGGTGGGTTTGAACTGTCAACCTTGCAGTTAGCAGCCCAACAACTAAGCCATGGCACCACCAGGTCTCCTTAAACAGATCAGGAGTCAAACTGAGAATCCTGTAAACTTAATCTGTTGGTAGGCCAAACCTCAGAGTTTGGTTTTTACCTTTCTGCGTTGTCTTTTTTGGGGGAATGAAGAGGGGTGAGCTTTGCAATGTCAAAAGCAAGATAGGAAATATATGTTAATATGGGAGCACATTTACCCTAGCCAAATCCTTATTCATTCTGTAAAACCGATCTCAAAAGTCACCTCTCCTCTCCTCCCACCAGCTGCTCCTCAGAAAACCTATACAGGGCCACTAAGGGTTGGAATTGACTCAAGGACACTTAAGGACACCAACAGGAAGCAACAAGGGTCCTGGTGTGGGACTGCAGGATAAGCACTGGGCTGCTAACCACAAGGTCAACAGTGCAAACACATCAGCCACTTTTGGAAACCCTATGTTGGGTCACTATGAGCCAGAACCAACTCAATGGCACTTAACAACAACAATGAATCAGAACTGACTTGACAACACACAACAACAACAAAATGGACTCAAACACAGCAATGATGTGCCGATGGTGGGTGTGTGCAGTGCCTTGTTCTAGTCTGCTGAGAGTTGCTATGAGTCAAAACTGACTCGATGGCACCTAACAACCAGGATTCTTCTTGAAGAGTTAGCAGTTCCCTATTGGATTGCTTCTGGAAAACTTTGCCTTTAACTTTAACAGGGTTGTGATGAATTGTCTGCTTGTTTGACTGTAGGGTCAGACGGGGCGTCCTTTGAGAACTAGGGAAGCCGCGAGGTGCCACTGTGTACTCATGATTTATCCTTGTAGCCCCAGTTCGTGGGTACTCAGTATGATTATGACATGACATGGTACTAACGTTCACATAACACTCACACAGGAAACTGAGTGCACCCCAAGTCTTTTGAAGGCAGTTTTTATTCCCCCTCTACGGTAATGGTAGGGTTCTGGGGTGGTGTTGGAACACACCCACTGGACTGCTAACTGCAAGGGAAGTGGTCCAAACCCACTATCTGCTTCTTGGAAACCCTCCACAGGGTCGCTATGAGTTAGAAGCAACTCAGCGGCATTTAATACCACCACCACCGCCCTTGGTAATGGTGACCAATTTGGCTTCTGTTCTTTTAGTCACTCATTTAGTCGCTTAAAAGGTAGTCAGTCCCTTTGTTATTGTTGTTGTTAAGTGCCGTTGAGTCAATAGTGACCCTGCATAGGGTTTCCAAGGAGCAGCTGGTGAGCTTGAACCACCAACCTTGCAGTTCAAACGACTTTGCAGTCCGACGCATTAGCCCACAGTGCCACACCAGGACTCCATAGTTAGTCCCTGGGTGGTGCCAAATGCTTGGCTACTAACTGAAAAGTTAGTAGCTGTAATCCACCTGGCGACTTACTTCTGGAGGATCACAACCACTGAAAACCTGGGGGGAGCAGTTCTACTCTGAAACACCTGGGGTCTACATGAGGTAGAACCAACACAACGGAATGGTCTTCTTGTTGTTAAGTACTGTAAATGTTAAATCGATTCTGAGTCATAGTAAAACTATATAGGGTTTCTGAGAAGCAGCTAGTGGGTTTGAACAATAGACTTTGAGGCCAACAATTCAGCGTTTATTCAACAGCACCACATCAGGATTCCATAATCAAACTTGACTACTACTGTTATGTGCTGTTGAATTGGTTCCGACTCATATCAACTCTGTATAGGGTTTCTGAGGCTGTAGATCTGTATGGGAGCAGAAAGCTCCATCTTTCTTCCTCAGAGCAGTTGGTGGATTTGAACTGCTAACTTTGCAATTAGCAGTCCAATGAGAACAACCTCAAAAGTCATCTGGTGTTAAAATCGAGACCCAGAGTTGGATTTTTACCTTCCTGTCCTGTCTTTTGGGAATGGCCAAAAGAAGACCTTAATCTTTTGCAGAGAAATTGGAACCTCCCATTCTGCAAAAAAAAGGGGCCCTTGCCCAATTGAGCCAGCAGAACCTTAGGACTCTGAGGCGAGAAACTGCAGACCCTCTTCCTTTAGACTTAATTAGTCTAACTGAAGGCAATTAAAAGTATCTAGATACAGATCAAGTTTAATCTACCTCAGGAGAAAAGCCATGTAATATTCTGGGTACAATGTTAATGAGGAAAAATCAATTATTCATTATTCTGTTTTTTCCTCTTTTCAAGGGAACGGGTTTAGATATTTTCACTGTCTTTAACCATTCCTATGATTAATGCTCCTCACAAAATGCAGTGCTAGCCAGAGTATGAAATCAGCTTATGTGCTGGCTGGTGTGGAACAGGTAATTCTGTGCTCCATTTTTCTTCTGTAAATGGACAATTGGATCTAACTAGCTTTTTGCCTGTATGTGTGTGTGCCCGCGTGTGCATGTTTATACACTGCACTGGGTTGAACACTGCCAAGTGAATCTTTCAGCTGTGGGTTTGTCTATCTGCTGTTTCTTCTATCTCAATTCCTCCTGCTGCTACCTTTGCTTTCCCCACACTGACACCTTGCGAACGATCCCCAATTCTTACTTGACCTGAGGTCTCAACTGAGATGTCACGTTTGGGGGGATGGTGCCCTGACTCTTGTGACCACAATGGAGCTTCTCTTCTTGAATGCTTCTTTTCTCTCCATTCATTCATTCCACAAATATGATGGAATGCTTCCTCTGGACTAGAAACTATAGTGTAGTGGTTACGAATTTGGCTGCGAACCTTAAGGTCAGCAGTTCGAAACTACCAGCCACTTCATGGGAGAAACATGAGGTTTTCTACTCCTGTCAAGATTTATAGCCTTGGAAACCCTGTAAAGGGTCGCTATGGGTCAGAATTGACTCGATTGCATTTAACAACAACAAAGACATAGCAGTGAACAAAAAGGAAAAAAACTTGCGCTGCACCTGTGCCTCCTGTCCCCAGCTTGTTATCAATGGGCCACCTGCTCTATGTCTTGTCCATCTTTGTATCCCCGTGCCAGTGTGCGGTACAGGCATGCTGACGTACTGGCGAGAAATGGATGTGCTCCCCCCCACACAGTCTGCCTAACTCACTGATTATCTGCATGGTGACCAGGTCTACTCTGATCTTCTGGAAGGTGGAAAGCCCAGCTGCCGTATAATCCTGCCGACATTGACAGTCGTCTCGTCGAGTCCCATTGTAGGGGCATTCTGTTGGGTTGTGCAATCTAAATAGAGAGAGAAGGTTCTGGTAAGGATGGAAGGGTACTTCCATAGATCCAGAGACATCTGGACTCTTCTGAACTTCAGATCTCATACCTGTGTCCGTAAACCTCAGAGAAGTTCTCAGAGTCACCATGGACCAGTGTCACATACTCTTTGGGGCGGTCAGAATGCATCCCTGCACAGAAGACCTGAAAGAGAATCCAGATTACCCATGATAAGTGGCACAGAACTGGGACTATTCAGACAGAAATGGTCCAGATCTGATGACTGACATTCACCTTTAGGAATTTTCCTCTAATAAGCAGGAAATATTCACCATCTTCATTGGCACCTTTGAGCCTTTTAACCTCCTTGCAGTTCTGGGGTAACTCGCCTGGAAAACACAACACAAAAAACCGACTGTGATATACCAGGACACGTGCCATCTGCCTACAGAATGATTTCCACTGTTCACATAAACATTTTTCAACTAAGGGAACAAATTTTAGAAATGTCTACATTTCTAAAATGGGCAGGCAAACAGGTAAATGAAGAAACTGTTCTTCAAGTTAAAGAAAGATGGCTTCACACCCAGAGAAGCAGTGATGCCTGAGATGGAGGCTGAGACAATGACGTGGAGAAATGGAGCAGCTGGGGACTTTAGACCCAGAGAGGGAGAGGGGCTGTGTGCTGTCAATCAGGGGGCAGGCTTGTAGTATATACCCTTTGTTTGGTTCATGATGCACGGATGGGATTGTAACCATGGCAATAAAACGATATATGATAGGATGAATGTAAAACTAATGTTCTCTCATGTAAACTACCACATAATTCACAATAAAACATTAAAAAAAAAGAAAGATGGCTTCAGTGGGCCAACTTACAGTTGTAGACATTGTGGCAGGTTTTTCTTTCTTCTGGCTTCAGATCACTGGGGCACAGGTGGCTGGGCTGGTCTTCATTGGTTAAACACTGTACAGATCTATGCATCACTCCAACGCCACAAGATGCTGAACACTACAAGGCAAGTCAGAGGCGCTGATGAGGTTATCCGCACTGGAGTGCTGATTTCATGTATGGACTGGGATTTGGAACCTTATGTTTATGAAAACAAACAGCTACATTTATTGAGTTCTTAGCACATGCTAGTCTCTGTGCTAAGCTTTATATATACATATTTATACACACACCAATACATGTATAGACATACACACTGTTGCTGTTCAGTGGCGTTCAGTAGGTTCCAACTCACAGTGACCCTGTATAGGGTTTCTGAGGAGTAGCTGGTGGGTGTGAACCAGTGACCTTGAGGTTAGCAGTCCTGAGCTGATACTATAGTACCACACCAAGAATGTCACACCCACACTATTGGTCTTGTTGGTAAGTGTTCTCATGTTGGCTCCAACTCATAGTAACCCTGTATTGGGTTTTCAAGAAGCGGTTGGTAGGTCTGAACTGCCAACCTTGTGGATCACAATCCAGGGCTGATCCTATCGTGCCACACACACACACTCTAGAGGGCTGAAAAAAGTTTGTGGAAAAATTTCATTGTCTTCAAATTTAATTTCTCCACACACTTTTTGAAGTCCCCTTGCATGTGTGTGTTTGTGTACGTATGTGTGTGTATTTTTGTTTAAGCGCCATCGAGGTGGTTCCAACTCACGGCAACCCTCTTTAGGGTTTCCATGTATGACCCTGTGGTTATATATACACATGTATGTATGTATATAGTGTGATGAAGCTTACATGAAATACCTGTCTATGTATACACACATATTTAATGTAGGCCTCATTATAACCCTGTAAGATAATACTAACATTTTCCTGTTTTTATAGATGAGACATTGAGGCTCAGAGATTAAATAATATGTTCAAGGTCATGGCTAAACCATAATTCAACCCTGAGTCCCCTTCCACTGGTCAAATGCTTTGCCTGATCCCTTTTCAAAGCTGACAGCCTGCTTAATTCTGAGTCAGGGGTATGGCAATTTTCCACAACCATCCTAATACAAAACACCGTGCCTTGTTTTCCCTAATTCAGTGAAGCATTCCTGATACAGAAGGACTAGAATGTGCAGACTTCCGAACAACAGCAGCTTCAGTGAACTCTTCCGTAACTTTTAGTATGTACCCAAAACTGTTCCAAGTGTTTTCTGTACAGTAAAACCTATGAAAGTTGGCCCCTGTTTAGGGTAGAAGCCTGTCAGAGAAGACAAGGTTCATCGTTTCCACTAGGAGACAATGACAGAGAGATGGTAAGGCGACACCCTGTCAAAGGTGGAAAACTGGCAAGACCATCCCACTGAGTTCCAGCTTTTACAAGTTTCATCCTTTATTAACCCTTTTCATCTTCACAGTCACCCAATTTGCAGCTCAGAAAACTCAAAAACTATAAAAGTTACATAGCTCGTCCAAAGTCATTCCACTGGGAGGTGGCAGAATCAGGGCTGGAATCAGACAATGTGGCTTCAGAGGCCTTACTCAAAGCACCAACCCATCCTGCCAGACAGGAGAAGGCCTCTGTGCTTCATATCAGCCCATTTCTACTGAGAACTTCTGCATCTCACCAGAGACTCTTCCAGAAGGAGAGCTCCTGAGGAGAGCAGGTCAGGTGGGGTGTGTTTCGATGCAGTGTGGAACCCAAGGGTTTTCAGATGTGAGGCCTTGCCAGTCTACTTACACTGCCCCAGTTGCCAACCCTCCAGGTGGCCGAGACTGGACACTCCCTCAGGTAGCATGGGTGGACGCTGGGAGGCTGTGTGCCCGGGCAGTTGACGGTGGCTTGGTAGCTGTACTCGTAATTTTCCTTCCCGGTGTAAATCTCGCTGCATGAGACAAGCCTTTGTTTGTAGCCCTTTCCGCAGGTCACTGAGCACTGAGAAGAGAGGGGTTGAGAGGAGAGGTTCAAATGGCTCCCTGGGGTAGCCCACAATGGGCCCCTGACCTCCACACTGCAAGCTGACCCTGTGACAATGCTGCAGAAAGCTCTCACTTTATTAGTTTATTTATTCATTTCAAATGACAGGCCCTGAGCACACAGGGGACATGCAATCCTAGACGATACTTTCTGGGATCCAGTGATTCCACTTCATCTTCTTGAACCTTGCTGGGGGGTGGGGGGAGGGTAGGCTCCCTCTGCCTCCTCCCTTCTAGGGATTCCAAGGCAGGAAGAAGAGGGGCACTCAGCTGACACTGGTTGTTAGCAGCTATTGCACAATCATATGGGCTGGCAAGTCATGCTTTTCTAACCCACCAATGGAAAGTGATCACATGAGGAGGGGAAGAAGAACTGAATGACAACGTGTGAGTTGGCATTTTGAGTGAGAAATCCAAGCACACAGCCCGGAGAAGACTCAGGAACATCTTCTTCCTAAACGTGATGTTTTCTGCTCTTTCATCTGTACTCAATTTCATTTCCTTCTCTCCTCTTTCCTCTCTCTCAAGCTAAAGATCTTGACTGCAATGTTACCTACCTGCTGTGCCATCGGAAGTCCCTGGGTGGTGCAAATGGCTAACACCATCGTCTGCTAACCTAAAGGTTGGAGGTTCCCTTGCAGGTTCCCTTGCAGGACCAAGGCCTGGTGATCAACTTCTGAAATCAGCCACTGTAAACCTTTCTGAAAACAGTTCTACTCTGACATACACACGGGGTCACCATGAGTTGGAATTGACTTGATGGGAGTTGTTGGGAGCACAGCTGTCTCTCTGGTCATTTCCTGTGGTCATTTAACTCTTTAAATACTTATATGTTGTTGAGTGCTGTCAAATCAGTTCTGATTTGTAGTGACCCTGTGAATCTTTTTGGGAGCATAATTATACAGCATTTTTAATACTCAGTGCCGAAAAAGGAGAAGAGATAAATAACTTACTAGTGTTCCAACTCCCTTCTGTAATGGAATGTCTATGTCTAATTGGTTATTTATACAATTTTATAACATCTTCAACCTCCCTGGTTAAGTATTTTATACAATTTGCTTAACTTGAAGAAATGAAATTGCTTTTCCTACTCCTTCTCCCCTCTCCCAGCACTCCCTGTTAAATGCCGTTAAGTCAGTTTTAACCCATAGGGACCCTGTATAGGGTTTCAGAGGAACAGCTGGTGAACTTGAACCACTGACCTTGTGGTTCAAAGCGACTTTGCAGTCCAGTGCATTAACCCACAGTGCTACACCAGGACTCTGGCAAGCATTCTACTTCTGCCTTTTTAGAGAATGCCTTACAGTATGTAAGCCACGCAAAGGGCAGTGAAGCCAATGTATATGGCATTATGGTGGTAGGACATGACATCAGGCATTTCTTACAACCCACAAGGCTGTACCACACAAGGTGCGGACCTGAACTGAACAATGGACTTTTATTAATAATAATGTGTCAATATCGGTTCATCAATTATAATATATGTAACTTACAGATGCATGGCATTAACAGTAGGTGAAACTGTGTACAGGATGGAGGGGATATGGAAATGCTGTACTTTAGGTAGAATTTTTCTGTAAATCTAAAAGTGCTCTAAAAAGAAAGTGCATTAAAAACAACACAAAACTGAATTACAGTTCATTTACCTTGGGTTGTTTTTGAGGCAATACCATTAAAGAACTTGTCAATGCCTACAAAGGAGTTACTCAAAATTAGGGTAGCATATTGGCGTCCCTGGAATCCTTTTGTAGTGCTGTACGATAAGCACTGGACTGCTACCCCAAGGTCTGTAGTTCAAACCCACCAATGGTTCCTTAGAAATCCTACACATGGTCAGAACCAACTCAATGGCACTTAACAACACCACCACTCAGAGTTCCTAAGGAGCCCTGGAGGCAATGGGTTAAGTGTTGGGCTGCTAACTAAGAGATGAGCAGTTCAAACCTACTAGCCATTCCTCAGGAAAATGATGAGGTTGTCTGCTCATATAAAGAGTTACAGCCTCAGAAACCTATGAGGCCATTCTAGTCTGCCCTATATGGTTGTTAGAAGCTGGAATCAACTAAATGGAAGTGGGTTATTGGAGTTCCTGGGTGGTACAAACAGTTAAGTACTTGGATACTAACCAAAAGGTTTGGAGGTTCAAATCAATCCAGGGGTGCCTCAGGAAAAGGTCTGGCAATCTACTCTGAACGACCCCAGACACGGAGAAGCGTGTGGAGCACAGTTCTACTCTGACACAGAGTTGGAATTGACTTGACAGTAGTGATTTGGTTTTGGCTTCAGCAGTATTCTCTAGACCAAAGGCACCCTGGAGAGCGTCACATGGACCTTCACCCCCCCCCCCCCGCCCCCCAACACTGTGCAACATATGGCACGTTTGTTTTTTTGGGATTGAAGAACCACAGCTTTCATTGGTTCTCAAGCATACTTATAAACTACAGTGTCTCCTCTTTCCTAATGCCTTCTGGGCTGTTGCTTTAAATCACGTGATTTCCTGTCTTGTAACACTTCCAGAGAGAAAGCTCTTCTTGGAAAGATCCTAGAGGCAGGAGGGAAAAGACCTGGCTGGAATCACAGAGTAATCCCTAGCCTTCCCTTCCAACTGGCTCAAGCCGTAGACATGCTCTGTGAACATCTCTCCCTTTTTTGGTTGTTGCAGTACAAATGCTCAAAGGTCCATTTGACAGTGGACTAGGGAAATGCAAAGCTAGTCCGGGTTTTTGCCTGCCTGGACACACAGCTAACAAATGCTTTGTCTGTCCAAGCTGTGGGCATCCTGACGTTGTCTAACCTCAGGCTTGTATATACGAGAGGGCTTCAAAAACTTGGTGGGAAAATGCAATGAAAAGATAATGGAATTTTACCACAGACTTTCTGAAGTCCCCTTGTATTGACCTCAGTCTGTATGAAATTAAACCAGGCTGCAAATGTGAGGACACAGTAATATACTGAGACCTTTCCTAACCCCTAAAGCAGAAGCAAAAGCAGCCCAGCAAACACTGATGTGGGGGCAGCAGTGACAGAGAGATTCTTTCTGATGAAACCGAGCCTAAATGTGGTCAGGGTGGTAGATTCAGAGGTCTTCACAGCTCTGAAAAGAAGTTGCACAGAACAAATGCAGGTTAACAGCTCTGTGAAAATGCTGGCTGCTCCAGACTCCCCAAACTGGAAAGTCCAGAGTTTTGAAGCAAAAAAGGCTGACCCAGAAGTTAGGGACTGTGTCAGTGAGGAACTGGAAGGGGATGAACTCAAGAGAGAGAACGTCAGAGAATACCCTCTCTCATCCCCCAGTTCATTTGGGATTTGAATGCTTTGGAACCTCTGCCTCAATCCCAAAGTAATGGACCCTTTTGAACGTGCATTTGGATTCCACATGTTCCTGGCTGTCCAGCAGTAATCTATGTCCTGGAGCACGTCTTTCCTCCACTGTTCAAGGGCCTATCAAGAACATGTGGGGCTGAATTTGGGAAAGGTTTCTCAATCTTGGCACTACTGATTTTTTGGACTGGAAACTTATTTGCTGTGGGGCTGTGCTGTGCACTGTAGGATGTTTATTAAGCAGTATGCCTGCTTACTCACCAAGAGGTTTGGAGGTTCAAATCTATCCCACTTGATGCCTGCAGCATAGGCAAGTTGGGACAACCAAAAATGTCTCCACACACTACCAAGAGCTCTTGGTGGGGCAAAACCATGGAGGAAGAGTGAAGGAGAGGGAAATGTAGTTAGAAAAGACTAGGATCAGCTTCAGTAAGGAAGCAATTCAGCATCGAAAATGCATCACCTAAATGCAAACATCCATCCTGTTACAATATGAAAAAAGCTGCCCTGCCAAACTTTCACAGGATGCTCATTATAGCAAGTACATTATGGCACCTTTCCTAGGAGCCTCAAATGCTTCCTTTTCACATCTCGAGATTTTGGGGGTGCATGAACAGCAATATGTTTTGATGTTACAGGTCTTTCACTATTTGGAAAGATAGGTTGCTTGAACAAAATGCACCCATGATTTTATTACTGTTAGTTAAGTAGTAATAAAAAGTGTCTCAGTAGGTATTGTGTGCTGGAAGAGATCCGAAAGAGAAACAATAGACACTTGGAATTCTTTGGGTCTTACAAAAAATCATTTTGCTTCTTTGGCTCAGAGGCTACAAATAAACATTCCATAAAAGGTGCACAGAAGTACTTGGTTTCTCAGTACAATGTTTAAAAAAAAATTTGAGTTCCTATTTTGAAATCAAGAGATTTCATAGAAAAGCCCAGACTTTTGGTTTCCCTTGAAAAGGTATATTTGGTAATACTGGGTCTGTTTTTGCAGAGCCTCACACAGGGTGCAAAAGACGATGTTCCTTTTATAAAGCACGCACTAATTTATCACAGTCCCTACTTCTCTCTGGTGTCTCCCTGACCCCTCGGTATTTTACGCGATGGCACTTAACAACAACAACAACAATCTTCTTCAAGCACAGTCATTGTAAGAAATCTACAGTCTCTGTTCCAAATATGTCCTGATCATACCAACAAGGTGAATTTGCGGAGTGAATGGAACTTAAGAGATCATCTCCTATCTCGCTCCCAATCTTCATATGTGGGTTCTGTGGCACAGAAACGCACATAGCCACTCAGGACAGAACTGGCAGGTGGGCCCGAGGCTCCTGCTTCCTTGCCCTCATCACTCTGTAGTTCTCAGGCCATGGCTGATCTGAAGGCGGTGACAGTGACACCAGGACATACCTCCGACCATTCTCCGGTGATCCAGACATATTCGCAGGGCTGCAAACTACAGCTTTCACGGTCGGCAGGTCGCTGGGTCATGTCACAGTGCACACCATGAACCTCGGCTTTGTCCTCATCCACACACACCACCTTGCGGTACCTGGAGCCATCCCCACAAGTCTTGGAGCACTATACAAGACAGGTGAAATGGGGTTTGATACGGAAGAATAATTTTCAATGACTGCTACATCATATTATTGTGATCTCAGCCGAGTCTCACGATACACAGTAATACCCTAAGAGTCCCCACAAACATAGAAGCAGTAAACAGTGTGTCCGCCTTGCTACCCCACAGCTGGGAATGTGTGCTCTGTGTGTGTTTGTGAGTGACCTTGAAATCAACACCATATTGATTTGGGGGGGTTATCAAAAACTTCTTAGCAAGCAGGTGAATTCAAGATTTGGGGTTTATGAATGATGAAGATTGACAAGTATACTGATGTTCCGGGAAGAGTGTTGTTAGGTAAATGGGATAAAGAATGAGTGCTCAGAAATCCTACAGGGCAGGCTGACAAGTGACCAACTACAGTTGAGTCTACACTAGTTAGAAGTAATTTGCTCCTCCCCACAGAGTCCTGGTATATGGTACTGTGGGTTAATACACTGGACTGCAAAGTTGGTTTGATCTATAAGGTCTGCGGCTCAAGCTCATTAGCCGCTCCTCAGAAGCAGGGTTGCTATGGGTCAGGACCATTTCGACGGAACTTACCAACAGCGACTGAACTTACTGGACTCCTGGTGTCGCACTGTAGGAGCAGCACTGGACTGTAAACCACAAAGTCAGCAGTTCAAACCTACCAGCTGCTCCTCAGAAACTCTACACAGGGTTGTTATGAGTTGGAACCAGCACGATGACACTTAAGAACAACAGTCCACTTATTATAGGGTCAGCGGTTCAAACCTACCAGCCTCTCCATGGGAGAAGGATGAGGCTGTCTGCTTCCATAATGATTAACTGTCTTGGAACAGTTCTAACTGACTTGACAGTTTAGTTTGGTTTGGTTTCAGTATTCACCTCAGAGTGCTTGCAATTCATAGTTGTCGCCCCCCATTCCATCTTTTGACTATTTTGACTTCTGCTATGAACATGCACGTACATGTCGGAAGGCCCACTTTTAATCTGGGAGGTATGTACTTAGGAACAGAATTGCTGGGTCATATGGTATACCCCGTGTCACTGGTGAGCCACTTTGTTCCTTAAGGACACAGAGGAGATTTGCTGGTATATCCTTATTAGGAGAAACCCTTAATTACCTGCAGACTTAGCACAAGACGTCTTTTGCTTAAAAGCAAACTTCATTATCGATGATGTAGAGTTCTTTGTAACTTTTACGGTGTAAAAATATGAATTGCAAGTCAGGTGGCAATGGGGAAGCTAATGACTTCAAGTTAGTGCAAGAGACCATGGAACAGTTTCCTAGCTCAGTAAGGCTTTGGGGATTTTTGTACCTGTGGAGTGAGTAGGCTGGGGAATACTGTGAGATGACTGCATTTTAAAAAGCATCATTTAAAAAAGGGGCAAGTGAGGCCAAGTGATCTGGAGAGCTACTGAGTGTTAAAAACAAAACAAAGCAAAATCTAGTTAAACTGTGATGTTTAGATACGTGCAGGAGAAATATTTAACTCCTTGTATAAAAGTCATTCCTCAGAGAAGTTAATTCCTTAGAAAACCAGTATGTAGGTGCCTCAGAGATGATCATGATTACTAAACATCCAAATCTGAATTTAACCCTTCAATGTCCTCTCCAGTGTCCCACACGACTTTACTTTGCATCAATAAGTAACAGTTTAAGCATTGACTCTTACATGCTTTATGCTTGGTAAGTATTTGTCCTGTGGTCCTAAAGAATGGTTAACTGCTCCAAAAATATTTTGCCAGTGTTATATATGGAAACTGAGAACAGAAACGAGTTTTGCCGAAGGAGAAAAGGAAATGGAGGAAACCTTACCTTTGTAACTTTCAGAAAAACTAACCTAATAAGTGACTGGTTCTAAGCTTTGGAATTAGTCACCAGCAGCTCTGAAAATCTGTTAGTAAGGATTTCCCCCTGAAGTTTTGAATCCTAACTAAGGCTTGAATGTATAGCTTCGGAAACCTTATACAGGGTCACTCCTATACAGGAATGGGTACTGACTCGATGGCATACAACCACCACTGACACTGAGTCGATTCCAACTCAAAGCGAACATATTTAGGGTTTCTGAGATCTTAAATCTTTATAGGAACAGACAGCTTCATCTTTCTTCTGTGACGTGGCTTGTGGTTTGAATATCCTTTTGCAGTCCTGTGCTTGTCCTGCAGTACCACCAGAGATCCTTAACTAAGACACAGGGGCTGTATACTCAGAAAACGAACCCAGCTCATGCTATTGGTCTTACCTGCTTTTGGTGTATTTCCCCTACCCTTGTATGATTTATGACTCTTCTCCCAGATCTGGAATATGATCTGGAATGTTCTGACACACAACTGGAAAGTTCAACTAGATTTATTTTAATTTCCAAAAGGTTTTCTCAAGTTTCATTTTGGCTTTTAGGAAAAAACCCTACGAAGTGCCTAAGTAATACCATCAGCCTCCTTGATTTTCACACACTGTATATAAGGTTCAGAAAGAAAGTAAGCACTGCACTAGGCTAGATTTGGTAGCCTGTCTCATTGTCCCACAGACTACCTGCGCCTTTAGATTTTCTAGCATTAACAAGGGGTTGGGTGTCCACATCTGAGGGTGAAGAAGACACGAAAATGAACTCTTCAGGTACCCTTCTGTTTAGCCATGCAGGTTGGCCAAACAGTGATGGTCTAGAAGGATAGAAATGGTCCTTCCTGAAAGGTTGTAACCAAGTTGCTTAAAACCTTCAAATAAATTCTTGATGAGATTCCCTAACCATGAGGCAAAGCAAATTCCTTCATATTCATTTTCTCCATTGATGGAAAAATAAAAAAAATAGTCATTTCTAGGGCTAGATTAGAATTGCTAGATAATGTGTGGACAGAAAAGTCTGAGAATCAAATCGGGAATCTGACGGCACTGTTAACTGTCTGTGTTGAGTTCTAATGTGATGCTGCTCTTGTTAAGTGCCATTGGGCCAGTATTGACACATAGTGACGCTGTATAGGATTTCCCAGGACTGGCTGGTGGGTTTGAATCGCTGACCTGTGGTTAGCAGTTCAGTACTTAGGCTTCTTTAATTAAAAACCAATTCATCGAACATTGTCCTAAAAATAACAAACAAAAGCATCCATGACAGTCCTTAAATTATCAATGGCTTCTATTCCCAAAGTTCATTTTTAAATAATCAGGTGTTTAGATTTTGGACATTTTGCCTCAATATAGTATTTGCAAAGGAAAAAATGACACAGAACTGATACTATGGAAAATTTTCATAACTTATAGAGTCATTCCTTCAATACATATTTACAATGGGACAAGTCCTGTGTAGATCCTGGGATGTAGCCTTGCTCCTCCTTACTTGTCTTCTCTCTTGTATGGCATTCTGGGAGGCTGTTGCTGTCCAGAGTATCCGGGTAGCTGGGTAACTGAGGTTTAACCCCTATCATTATGTGAGCTGATCTGGGCTTACAACAGACCTATTTAGGTGGTGCAAACTTTTCTGTGGTCAGCTGGTAAACAAAAGCTTGAGTCTAACCCAGAGGAGACTCGGGGGTGGGGAAAGCATGATTATCTAATTCTAAAAAAATCAGCCATAGAAACCTTATGGAACTCAGTTCAACTCTGACACACATGGGTTGGTGTGACCTCAATGGCAACTGTTGTTCATTGCTGTTATTTTCTGTTCATAATCGAAAGGGCATTTGAGTAAGAAAACATCAGCACCATCTACAAACGTGACAGAAATGAAGAAGGGGGAAGAAGGGATGGAAATTTCCAGAGTCAAAGCAACTGAATGCATTCTCTAGGTAGTGACAGATGAGGAGGTGAGTTAAGGAGAGGAGAAGAAGCCATTTTCAGGAGGGGTTTAGTGCAGGCACGCAAGTAAGAAATGTCAGGGGTGGGTTGGACAAGGACAGTCTGGGGCATGGAGAGAGGGAAGTAATACCCTTAGGTGGTATAAATGGTTAACACACCTGGGCTGTTAACTGAAAGGTTGGAGGTTCAAAGCCACACAGATGCACCTTGTTAAAAAGATCTGGAGATTGACTTCTAAAAGGATCAGCCACTGAAAACAGAAAGCCCTATGGGGCACAGAGCTACTCTGACACATACGGGGTCACCATGAGTCAAAACTGACTCAACGGAAATTTTGGTTTTTGAAGTTTGAGGTTATAGACCATATGATTTGAGGCAGGGATTTGTGAGAAAGAGGCTGAGCAGACGCCATGACCTAAAGGGGTATGGGAACCTCCCACTAAGCTGAGAGGCAAATCCAAACCCTAACCGAGGTCTACAGGACACATCATAGCTGCTCCTGTTGCTCCAAACTCCTTTCCTCCTCTGGTCCCCTGGACCACTCCGTTTCCACCGGGCCTCACTTCCATCTTGCCTCAGGGCCAACGCAAAGCCTTTCCCTCTACCTGAAACTACCGGCTCTTGCTCTTCACTCCTTGGCCATGCTTTTACAAGGCAAGATGAGCCTGACCTTCTCTGTCTCTGTCTCAGCACCCCGGGTTTTTTCTTCTCCCTTTGTAGCACTTTTTATGACTGGCAATCTTATATACATACAACCTACAAGTTTATTTGCTTCCTGTCTTTCTTCACCATTAGAATGTACATCTCACAATAGCAATTTCATACTCTTTGTTGTACTCCCCACTTTACAGGCACTTGATAAATATTTGCTGAATATATAAAGGAGGGCATGATAAGGAATTAATACCCAATCCTGTTGTTTGTTGTTGTTAGGTTCCGTTAGTCAGTTCCAACTCATAGTAACTCAGTACAGGCTGTAAATCTTTATGGGAGCAGAAAACCTCATTGTTATCCCTTGGAGCAGCTGGTGGGTTTGAACTGCTGACCTTGTGGTTAGCAGGCCAGCGCTTATCCTACAGTGCCACCAAACCTTCATCCATAAAGGTTGATGAAAATCTGATTACTCCTTCTTGAAAAACTCATGAAAAAAATCTTTGTAACCAACTGACCAAAGCCCTGCTTATTTTTCACTTTTCTGGGCTA